CACTCTTCTAAAATATGAGTGGAAATAAAATGCTTGGAATTCATATAATGATAATTATTACCCTTAATACTCTTAAACAAATGTGGCATTGTGCACTTTTTATTATTCAAAGGCTGTGCCCTCAAATGTAATAACTGGCCTGTCAATATATGAATGTCATACAAACATTGAAGAACAGAACAATCTCTGATTTCATACTTTAAAAAAAGTGTTTTGCACGCATATCTCCATATATTTGGTCAGGAGGAGAGCTAACATAGTTCATTTCACAAATTCTGTATTTTACGTGACAATCTTTATTTGAACATAAGTTTTAAATTAAAATGTTTCTCTGTCTTTATCAGCAACACCTGGAGGGGAGAACGCGTGCTCCGTTTAAGATACTTTAGCTCAAGATGCTGCTGAAGTTTATTTGTCACAGATGTTGGAAATTTGAGACATTTGACTTCATATTTCTTTTTTGGAATTGTATGTAGCCTATTTCGAAAATATTATTGAGAAGTAGATGATCCTAAAGAAAATTAAACTTGAGCTATGCATGTTCATAAACACATCACGCATTTATAGTACAGCAATCCAACTCATACGAGACAGAGTATTTAATAAATTATTATGGTTCTTTACAAGTTGAATGGGGAAAGGAAATACAGACTATTCGCGTAATTCTAATACACGCATAACTACGCATTTCTGTTATGTACAAACCAAAATTATGGTATTTTTATTGCCATCTTCTTCTGGAGTCATAATGATGTGCCATCAGTAATAATAATAATAATAAGAGTTCGTAATTATAATTTTTAATATTAGTAACATTATTGTTGTCGTCGGCAACAAATAGGCTAATATTATTCGATGATAATAATAATATCCAGAGCATCAGAAAATGTCTATATATCATGGGTGAAATATACACTGTCCTCATATATCAATTTTAAATCATATTAGGCTATCTGTCACGCCGAGATCGATCATCTATGACAGTGTCAGCTGTCATAATACAAGCATGATCGTATGTGATTTATTAGGCTACTGCAGCGTTTACCTTATGCCAATCATTACAATTGATGATTTTATGTGCCAAGTATAATATATAAAAATAAACAGATCAGGCTCAATCTGAAGGTATTAAATCCGCACCGATGGCCTCAAGGAGGAGTTCATTTTACAACCCATCTATCTATCTGTCTGTCTCACCGGCGGATCAGTCTCACTCACCTTGTCCCAGGTCCATGAAGCTGGTCACTGTATTGGCATATCTCCTGGAGCGCGTCTGGCTGCCGTTGCTTGCCCGTCGGTCCAGTTCCGATAGAGTCCTGTACAGAGAGATCATGTAAGACGGAACATGAACAGATGTGGAGTCGTTCCGAGAGTTCGTGCTGGCTTCTGCAGGACTGCGCGCATCCAGATGTGAGTGGAGCCCGTTATCAGAGGGGTTCTGCACCGATCCCAGCACCACTGCCTCAAGAACATTCCCAAAGCAAAAAGAAAACCATAGGAAGGGAGGGGCAGGCTTCTTGGGAGTCATTTTCAGTGGTCTCTGGCCGAAAATGGCAAAGTTGGATGGACTTGATGACTTTGGAAACTCCCCTTTGCTCTTTAGATAGTGTTAATATCTTGAAAGTGAGTAACACTGAATGCCTGTTGCTCTGTATTCAAAGAGCGCCCCCCATTGGAAAGACATTTGGAAGCGGTTTAAATCAGAATTTTTAGAGTGGATTGATATTATTGGCAATTGTGTCACTTTAAAATAAATAAAATTATGCTAAACAGAATGAGCTTAAAATAAAGAATGAAAGCACTTATTCTGCTTTGCTGGGAATTTTCTTAGTACAACTGTACTGTTTTTTATATGACACTGACAAACATTTTTCTTCAAAATAAGCATAATAATTGAAATAAGCGTATTGGAAGTCAACATTTTGATTCGGAAAAGTTGCTTTTCATGCTGTACCATCTTTTGCGCAATCGTCCCCCGTTTAATGTGCGCGCACTGCCATCTACCGTTGACAACACTTAATACACATGCAAAGTTTATGCAAGTTAAATTACAATAGCCTACAAAAACGCTAATAGTAAAATCCGTTTTCACTGAAGGAATAGTAGGCTAGTCCATACTTTTACTGCCTTTCTTATACATGTGCTTTAAAGGGGGACAGAATTGTCACACTTCTTACTTCAGTTAATATTTCTCAGTGTCGTTTTCTTTTTGAAAGTCAGTTTCTGTATACATATAAAATCAATGGTGTGGCCAAAAATACAACCTACGAAAAGATTACTATAAAGCTACTAAAGGCATTCACTATGTTATATAATATTCCCTCTGCTTTGCAACCCATTAGTAAATGCATTCAAAGATGAATGGCAGGGATTTAGATCTGATTCTTTCTTCATACTATCCATTTTTTGACTAATTTACACCTTGTCAAGTACCAAAAAATAAAGACTATCATATGCATAATCAGTCAAACATATGCTTCTTTTCACTTGTCACTTACTGGAATCAAAGAAGGAGCATAACAATCCATTATTATTTCATTACAGCTAACATATGCTCAAGTATGAAAATGTCCAGCTGAAAATATGGTACCACAGAGATTTAACCTTGGATCACAGTGTTGAAGTAAAGCATATTTTCAATGGTATTACCCGAACACTTAATTTATATAACGTTACACTACTGAACTGGGCCTAAAATACTGTAGCTCATCCATGTCAACATGCAGCTGATTGTGTGTTGATTTGCTGTCTGGATTAACCAACACTTTGCTATAATATATATGGGTATCAGGTTAAACTCTGGAGATTTTGCCAGGAAGTACAATTCTGCTTCCTCTCCTGACCTCATCCATGCCTGTCATATTAATAACTGATGTTCAGTAGACAGTAAACTAAACATATTCTAGTAGCCAAAGAAACATTTATTAAGCTCACAGTATGAGCTTGGACTGAAAGGTTATCTTGGTGACAAAATTTATTTCTCACCCCTCAAAACAATCGACTAGTATGTTGACTACAGTATTTGTCTGCTCCAGCATTTAACTTTCTTGTGATCAGTTGCCCTGCATTAGTAGACACCAATTACAGATCTTTTTTCATTGTTGTCAAATAGCTGCAAAGATTTTGTATATATATATATATATAAGGATGGACATACTACAGCAAGTTAAAAAGTGTTATCATAAAGTTCAGAACATATAATTACATTTATGTCCTAGTGATTGTATATTTTTAAAGATTATGGCCTTTTCTTTCCACAAATGAGTATCATGATTATCATTCCCTTGAAACTAAACAAACTTCCACCAACTCATTACGAAGTATTTTATATCTCAATTTTGTGTTTTCATTTGCCCCATGAAATTGATCTTCAGGGGTATTTTCCACCATTTAAACACACACACACACACACACACACACACAAACTCTGTATAGCTATCTTTGTAAGGACATTGACACAAAGCAATCTCTAGCTCCTTACCCTAAACCTACCCATCAGAACTAAGTGCCTCACCCAAACCCTTACCCTAAACCTACCCTTTACCCAATTATAACCTGACCCCTAAAACCAAGTCTTGACCCTCAAACAGGCCTTTAAAGGGGTCTCAGAAAGTGAGGACCGGCCAAAATGTCCTCACTTTACAAGATTGTCCTCACTCGAATGGTCTAAAACTCAAACTGGCCCTCACAAAGATAGCAGTACAAGTACACACACAAGCACACACATACACAAACGTTAGGTTTCCATGTTTTATGGGGACATAATTAATTATTTTACAAACTTCCCCTCACACAAAACCTTCTGCATTTTTAGATTAAAAAATAAACGTAATGTAGTATGATGTATAAGCTGTTTTACTCATGTGGACTAAAAAAAAATATCCCCACAAGGTCAAAAATTACCCGTATTATTATTCTTGCTCAATATTGGCTACGTGTGTGTGTCACACAAATGTATACATATATACATCTGTGTGCCACAAATGTGGGTGTTCCTCATAAAATAAATTAATTAAATTTATTATTAAATATTGTTGTTATTATTATATTAATTAACCTGTTTGACCCTCTAGGAAACTAAGGCAAATAACATCTGGTAACTATGGTATTTTGGCGCAAACTGATTACCGTGGTGTACAACTTTTAAAATTCCCTTTGGTATGAATCACATATACCCTACAAAATAATTTTTAAGAATAAGTTTTAATGTCGGGGACTCAAATATATGCCAAATATGCAAATTAGAGATAGATACGGTTGAACATTTTTTTTCAGTGTAACTTGGTACATGCATTCTGGAATGATGCATTCAGATGGATGCAACAAAGAATACCTGCAAGACTGATCCTCTCATGGGTCCTCTCAATTGTTACGTTTGGTTTGTTAATTAAGGATAAAAAGATATCTTATGTAGCCTAATAAATAATTGGTTGCTTTTGCTGAAATTGTACATTCATAAATGTAAATTTTTCAAAATTCCTCCATGATAAGTGGTTGTAATATATTTGGAGACATTAAGAGGGGTGAAATGTCCCAAAGCAAGGTATTTGTATTCTTTATTAGACAATTTCGGGTTTATAATGTAAAAGCCTCCTACTCCCCTACTTTTTTTTTACTTTTTTGGGTGTTTTTTCTCTTTCTCTCTCTCTCTCTCTCTTTTTCCAATATATTTATTTTACATTATATCATAAATGTATTATGTGGTATATGTAGTATAGAGTATAATATGAAACTTGAGTGTAATCTCAGTCTTGATATATAGGCTATGCTATATCTCTTTTATGAATGAATGCCTTTCTGTGTTGTTGTTCCAAGCATTTGAATAAAAAAAAAATACGAATAATAATAATAATAATAACTTATATGCACTGTGTTACCTGTTTTATAAGATCGTTATGAAAACTAAGGCTTTCTCTGCTTTTCTTGCAAGTTTTTATTTGCAGACACATGCACATTAACTTCCTCAATCAAAATAAAAGACCAGCTGATGGTCACGTGACTATCACATGATCAGTACATTAGGACACGGGCATTGGTGCTGTTTTTAAGATATCAGGCTACATGAACGCGAAAACAATGCGGTGAGTATGTTGTTGTTTGCATTTATGCAGTTATGTTACGCTAATCATAGTTTAAAGATCACGTTTGCAGAACTGTTTGTAAATCTCAAAGACAGCGGTTCACCTCATTAGGTCAGATGGTCAGGACAAAGAGTTCACATGATAAACCTGTTCCCTTGTGTACTGTTCTAGCATGTTAACTATTTAAGTTGACTGTTGGAGTTAAAATGACAAAAGTCTCTTGTGCGTTGGCCATAAAAACAATTTATTTGGCATTAAAGTGGGCTCTTAAAGTGACAGTGTTTATTTTTTTACAGGATTGCTGTTTTTGTTCTGAGCTTTATTTGGCTCGTCAATGGGGAGCTGCTTGAGGCTGATCAAGATGCTTCGTAAGACCCATGCATGCCTCTGTCTAGCAATAACTGAGTCCAAATTATAAGCTATATTGGTCACTTCTGATGTAATTTCCACATTTCATTTACACTAGAATCAGCCCTTGGAAAATGTTATTCTCAATGTTTTAGTGTGCCTGAGGACTGGATTCTGGTTGAAAGGGTGGGACCTTTGGAGGAAGTGGAACTTATATTTGCATTAAAGCAGCAGAATGTTAACCAGATGGAAGAGTTACTGAAACTAGTGTCAGACCCAGATTCACATCAATATGGTATTGAGCCTTTCATTTGTTATAATCCAAATTATCAAATGAAGAAATTAGTTCTTATTTTTTCGTTTATATTTTAGGGAAGCATCTGAGTTTGGAAGAAGTAGCTGCTCTTGTTCGGCCATCTCAGCTGACCGAGAAAGTAGTGCAGAATTGGCTCCAGAGTCATGGGGTCAAAAACTGTCACACAGTTGTAACACAGGACTTCCTTCAATGTGTCATGACTGTGCAGTAAGGACAGTTTTTGAGGGAATTTTCTAGTATCAATAGACCACAAAAATCAGATCAGTTTCTCATCTTCTATCTGTCCTTCTTAGGGTGGCTGAAACATTGCTCCCTGGCACTAAATTTCACCGCTACAGGAGAGATTCACACACTCTGTTGAGGTCAACATCTCTATACTCCGTTCATGAAGATGTGCATCAGCATCTAGACTTTGGTGAGCAGCTGACACCATTAGTTCATCATCTTCAGCTTCCATCCTATAAGCCTACTGTATCATATTTAATATATAAAATTCTAAAACTCTCTTAGTCATCATCATTATGTTGCATTGCATTATTGGATTTGCCCTCCACAATTAAAACTACAGAGCTTTGATCATAAAACTAAGCATTTTATTGTCATCTTACTAATACATATTGTTGGAAGGTTGTCCATATTATTGGACAACTGATATTTATATGTAATTTATTTAAGTAGTCTGCTATACAGTTAGAAAGTTCTCAATGATGTACATTATGGGCTATCAGAATTTCTGCATGTTTTGCTTAGATTTACTGGCCTCTGAGTTAAATTGAGTTGTTGTTTTTTTCTCCTTGAGTATGAGCTCCATATTCTTTCTATATGGGCCATAAAAGCCTAATGTATAAAAAATGATACAAAACATGTTTTTGCAACCTTTTTTTTTTAGATTTTAAAGATTTTGTTGAAAGGTTCAATGAATGTCCCAT